CCCCAAAACCCCAAAACCCCAAAACCCCAAAACCCCGCAATTACTAAATTTAAGCTTTTGATGGCTTGGTGATAATGATAATAATGTTTAATTAACTAGATAAATATGCTGTTTGTAAATGGTTAATTGTTTAAGAAAAACTGACTAATTAAATACATATATAAATATTAAGAGTGTGAATAGGTTGTTAGTTTTGTCATACTGGTCGTGTATTATAACTTTACCTCGCATTAAATGCAGGTGTCATCCTCTCTTTATCTATATCTAATCGATCTGTCGACTACCTGTTGTGGCTGGGATAATTATCTTCGTTGAATATATTCGATGAAAATTTATTTGACTGTCTCACAGGTGTCTAAAAATCAATCTTACTTCTTTGAATGGTTTGATATTGTGGGTTATTTGCATTTTCATGACTAAAACTTACACGGGCGTCATTAGATGCACTGCGTTGGTTAGCTTGGGTCTATTTCATAATTACAAAAGTGTGGTCAAATTTATTCTGACTATTCTGAATATTGTCCAGTACGAACATCTTATTGCTGCTGTTGTGAGAAGAGTTTCCTGAGTTCTTGAAGTTTTATCTTTAGATTATTTAGAGCTGGTGTTTGCTCATGCGGAAGCATTTGGGCATTTACTTTGAAGCTACAGTTTTAATCGTGTGATGAAACTGCTTTTGGAGATTCAGAGAAGATGCATTCATTTGATTGTCGATGCCTGCCCCAGAGTACAAGGATACAGGGACTTTAGAGTTAATGCTCTACTTTTCAAGGCTTAAATTAGGATCCTCTAAATAAGCTGGGTAATTATTGGATTATGATGATTCTAGGAGGTTAATTTATCCTGACTTAAGAAGCTGCAAATTATCCTTGCTCGAACGTACAACATCCTCAATTCTATTAATGTTAGCTAGGTAATTAATTACGTATTGAATTGGGGAACTTGCTAATGGAATCTCTCATGTGCTTCTTATTTAGATGATCCCTGTGAAATTGAATAGTTTCTATACTGGAACTATGTCTGAGCATTCTGAATCTTATCATTTAGCATGTTGAAGTCCTCAGACAATTCAGACATCTATTGAATTTAGAGAGAATTATTTACATTTAGCATTCTAGTCTTCGACATTTTGCTGTCGTTTCCATCATTTTAGGCCTAATGACGTGGATTATAATTATGCTATGAAGGTCTTACTGGCCTATTTTGTTCGAATTGATAGTTTAAGGGACTGCCAACAACATTAGACGGGGAAACTATTTCACTATGTGGTAAGTTTCCACTTTTCCCGAGGCTTATCAGTGTCAGGTCTACTTTCTAAGGTGTTTCAGAATTTAATAATTTGTCTCTATAAATTTTACCTCTAATCACTTGTTCGTTAAATTAGGTCTTAATTTCTGGAACTGGCTGAATTTTACCAATTCCATTTTTCAAGGAGTAAAGCTCAGAAAATTCTTTCAAATTGTTATTTTATGGCGATATCTCACTATACAAATGAGTTGAAGTATTGTAATTTTAGGCTTTAGCCTTATCTCTTTTTGGTTATTTGATATGTGGACCTCTACCACTTTGATTGAAATCGTTAACAGTATAGTTAACTTAAATTTGAGGTTGTAAGTTTTTCCTGTCAACTGAGTACGAATTCTTCTTTGATGATGAATTTAGGCTTTCGCTAATCCAAGAATTAGGATTCTAGCGTAAAGACATGTCTGATTTATCTTTACTATCATTTCTGTTGAAATCGCTAGGCTCTCGATATTATACTTATGAATTAGAATAACGGTGATTCACATCAAGTCTAGGCAGAAAACTGGAATTCTTCTCATCTGTCTGAGGAGAATAAAGATTTTCAGGTGGTTCCTATCTATGATGAGCTGCATTAAAAAAATCAGCTACGCTCTACTAATCCTCAAGTGAGTTATTCAACTTCATTAAGGATTCTTGTTATTGCTATTTTCTCTTATTGGTTTTCTATCCAACTGCACCATTCTGCTGTTAGGGATTTCTAACGATATTTAGCTTATTTCCAGACATTCTAATTGGCATCTCACGGCCTATTACTATTTAGCCGTTCATAATAATAGCTTTATTTGGATTCTAAGACCCATTTACAGTATTTTGTGCATCATTTGATTAATCCATAGGAGAATTAGGTTCAGTTTGATGCCTCCTCTTTTTTAGTTTAACGTTTTATTTATCTCTTGCTTGTATTTGATTTTGAGATTAGTCTCTATTTATTAATTGACGACTGCTAGTATTATTGATAGAAGATCCTGTGATATCCAAATTTGCCCCAGTATTATTATTAAATCCTTACTTATAAGTTAACTTTTATTTTTTATCTGGTGAGACACCAGAAGATAATCCAGTTTTGATTTCAGCAAATTAACTTGAAAAGATTTAGCTATCTTCATTCAAGTTGCTGTGCTTCGTTGAATCTAACTAAAATGGAGCGAATTCGTCTTAGAACTGTGTCATATTAATTAAGTTAGAAGTGTTTTCATAATTTCCATTGTTTGTCTAGAAGCTTGAATCAGCCATATTTTATTTATTGAACTTTTAGAGATAACTTTTTTAACTAATGTCACTTTACAACAGTGAAGAATCTAATCCAGGTTACATACCACTAAGTCTACCATTAATGTTGGAATGTTCATTAATAACCATAAGCTGATTCATGTTTGATGTTGCAGCAGTTGATGGGAGGGGCAATTATTTACTCTTAAGATTTCATTTTTACATGTACGGAAAAGGACTATTAGTGTTTGGACGACCATACCTCTGTCGTTTTAATGAGTCTAGATTTGTTTGCAACGGTTCTCCTAACGATTAGCGAGGTTAGCTCTCTAGTACCCTAGGACGTGCTTCCTGTTTAATTTATTTCTAGGGAGATATCGTTGACATATTGGAATCTTGGATCGAATCAAAGTTAGAGTAATGGAATTCACGGTCTTTGACTCGCAAATTAGCCAGTTGAAATGAGTCATTCATGTTCCTATTCTCATTCTATCTTAGCGGGCTAGGGCCATGAATCTAATCAGCGATCTTTTTTACTTCTTTGGGCATTTGATTAGTTATATTAAGCAAAATATTTTATAACAGGCATTATTATTAAATCTATAAAACTCTGCCCATTAATTTTAAGATCATTAATTTACTATTAATCTATAATTATCATTTAATTCAATAACAACTGGGAAATCTAGCTAATTGGGTACTTGAGGTTTTTCTCATTTTCATTTATAGTATTCTCTCATGTCCTTTGTTGATACTTATCTCTAATCAGTATTTGTCCTCTTGAATTATCTGAGAGGACTACCGATATAATGATTTCGATTTTCCTTATCATTGATATTATAGTTTTTATCCTTATAAGATTTCTCAGGAATCTCATAACCCCCTTCATACTGATTTCTCATAAAAATATTTTCTTTTTGTAGCGATACGTTTGATGCATAGATTTAATTCTAGTCTATTTTCTTGAGACTGTTCTGGGTTTTGAGGATAGGCTATTTCTATGGATATTATTGTTACTCCTCCTAAAGATCAAACTACACCTTGTTATTATAATTTCCTACTTTTAAATTTTATGCTTTTTGCTTTTCTCTATCGTAGACCTATGCTTATTCATTTAAATTAGCCTACTTAAAAGTTTAAGGATTTCCAATCAGCTAATAGAACAACCTCTCATACTTTTCATCGTGTTCTTCCTGTAAATCTACTAATGCTTCGACTCTCTATACCTTGGTATTGAGGTCGACAGCGAAGATATATAGGTCTTAAGATATTGTCTTGAGCTCAGTTAATTAGTCTACATTCAATTGCTAAAGTTAATTTAGAAGCTATGAATCTGATTATAATGGTTTGATATAAATTGAAGGGTCATCTTCAACTTCATCTAGATTCTATTAATTGTTTTGACCTGTATAGTTCTGGATAAAATAGTTTAACAAAGGATTTTCTCTCTTTTAGACTAGCTTAACCATTCTTGATTGAATTTTCCTGAGGTTATCTCTAATTTATGGAAGAAATTCCTGATAATTTTTTGAGATGGCTAATTCAAGGAAGTCAAGTGAGGACTTAAGGAATTTAAATAAAGGCTGGTTGAATCCTTGATTTGCTAGATTGTTACTATTTTGTACACCAATCTACGTAGTATTGGAGTAGTTGTTTACACCAGATATAGCATCTTCATATGCGTATATTACACCTTCTTCGATCAGCTATGACATAAAATCAAGAGTCTAATGCTGCAAGCACTCTAGGAATACTACATAGTCAGAGGAAAGTATTATGAAAAGTTTTGAAAGATTATATTGAAAAGTACCATGCCTAGAGGAAATCTGATCAAATCCATACTCGGCATTGCAATATTTTCTCAGTACATTAGTCAATTTACTAGTAAAATTGTATTTTCTTTTCAGTTAGTTCAAGGTCTCCTTGGATTTTTAAGACAATGTCTACAAAATTTGAGTCACTCTATTAATGTCATTCGATTCAGTGAGCTAAAACAAGCACATTCTTGTTGAAAGAGGCTTCTCAGCTCCAGTTTTAGAATCATACTACTTCATGTCCAAGCAAGTGTTGTCTGATATTTATGATTATGAGTCTTCATTTTAATATTTATCAAAGGTTTCATTGTTGTTCATCAGTCCTGAGTTTTATTCTTTTGACAATGCATTCTAGACCTTGTCTAGTAAGTCTTGAGCTAGTAGTTTATTAGAGGTTAGTTAAGAATAATCATTTTTGCTGATAATTCTGAGTAGTGTATCTGTGTCTACAATATATTTCACCGAGTACCAATTGTTTACCTGATGATTGAGGAGTTCTAAACAAATATTGAGGGAGCGCTGATCATTTATTTTTTCCGCAAATTATAAAGTACTCCAAGCATCTTCAAACTCATCTGGAGTGAGATATCTATCCTCATCTTTAATAGACATTAAACATGATATTTATCTCCTTAGTTCTTCAGTTTATTATAGTGGAATAAAGACTGGCTTGCATAGTTCTAAATTTTCTTGAGATAAAAATATTTTAGATGGAAAATTTTCCTTTAGTATATTTACTACTTCCCAGGCTATCGAGCCGAATTTCTTATCCTCTTATGTAATTTAGAATGCAGTATTAATCCTGAAATAGCAGGTATGCAAGTAAGCTGATTGAATGGGCAATATAATTTAATCGCCATTTGAACCATTTGATGATTAAAAAACAAGAAATCTGTTATTTTAAACTCTAAAATAACTATTTAAACTGTAATTATTCTTACTGGGTTATCAAATCTTGCTAATGAGTGGTTAAATATTGTAATATCTCATTAAAGACTGACTCATATCTTTTCTAATTTAAAATAGGTGCCACAACTGTGATGCCAATAAAGATGGATTAAGAGCTCATTTTTGTTTAAATAAATTTGTATATTTGAATTTACTAAAAACGTTGATGTTCCAACATCACATATTTCTGATTCATTTGGGGTTTTGGGGTTTTGGGGTTTTGGGGTTTTGGGG